TTCTTAGCCAAACGAATAAATAAGAAATTTTCGATGGTATTCATTATGGCATATGCTTTCAAGCGAAGCAAAGCGACCCTGTCATCGCTCACTAGAATTTGAACAGTCTTTATGCGAGAATTGATAAAGTTTAAGGGATTTTGCGAGACTATCATTGATGCCGTGCAATGGAGTGGAGCGTTTAGCTAACCAACGAAACCATTATCGGCTTTCTAGAATATCAAAATATTTCGTATTTGTTATGCGAAGCTTCTGACAATTTTGCAAGTCTTACATAATGGTTTCATATACAGTGTACGAAATCTATAATCGTTCCGTATATACAATACGAAATCGCCGTTAGTGTCGTAAGGGGTAAAATGATTTCGTAAACTATATTATGGTTCCGTATACATTATACGATACTACTGATAGTTCCGCAGCATATCTAAAGGTTCCGAATATGAAACGCAAAATCATCCTTAGTTCCACAAGCAGTAAAATGGTTCGGTACAAGTTGTACAGAACTATTCAGGGTTTCGCAACCTTTATTATGGTTCTGTATACAATATACGAAACCATTGATAGTTTCGTAGGACATCTAAAGGTACTGTACCTAGAACACGGAACCACCCTTTGTTCCGCAAGCAGTAAAATGGTTCCGTATACATTGTACGAAACCATTGATAGTTTCGTAGAACATCGAAGGGTTCCATACGTACAACCCTAAACCACCCTTAGTTCCGCAAGTAGTAAAATGGTTCCGTATAATTTGTACGGAACTATTGTTGGTTTCGCAACCTTTATTATGGTTCTGTACAAAATATATGAAATCATTGATAGTTTTGGAACGTCTATAATAGTTTCGCATGTATTATACGAAACCATTGACAGTTTCGCAGAACATCTAAAGGTTTCGTATTAGTTCTACGAACCTATTCATGGTTGCATAAGTGCTCTAATAGTTCCGGAAACGTTGTACGAAACTAGCCATGGTTTCGTAAAAGATATACCGAACCATTGGATCATTTACTAAGCTATGAAAAGTTTCGTAAAATGCGTGCCGAACCTTCTGGTGTTTTGCGAAACTTTTGATAGATCAGTATAAGATACACGGAACCTTTGTTTGTTCTACGAAACTATTAGGGATTTCGTAAAACATCAAAAGGTTCAGTGTAAATTGTACAAAACTATTCGTAACTTCGTAAACGATGTAATGGTTCGGTATATCTTTTACGAAACCACAGCTAGTTTCGTATAGCGCATCCGAAACTATAGGAGCACTTACAGAACTATGAAGGCTTTCGTAGAACTAATACGGAACCTTTAAATGCTCTACGAAACTGTCAACAGTTTCGTACCAAAGATACGAAACCACCGGAAGTTCAGTAAACAATGCGCAGAACTTCTAGAAGGTTCCGTATTAAACCTCGAAACCTTCTTCGATTTTCGGAACTTAAAAAGGTTCAGTATGAAGACTACGAAACCTTTTCCATCCCACGGAACTTAAAATAGTTTCGTAAGCCAGCGCGAAACTTACAAAGTTTGGTTAAATACCTTTTTTTTTACAGTGTAATGATTAAACATTTCAGTTAATAATTTCCTCAATTGTTTGAATTATTTCATTATTAACTTAAAATCATTGAATGAAACATTTTCTTTCGAAATAATGAATAGTTGTTTAATTTTTAAATCCATATTCAGTTGAGATAGATCGTAGAACGATATTGTATTTTTATGACAGTGATCAATGCCTCTGATTCGAATCGATAAATTCTTTATCAATATATATAAATACAATTATATTCAAAGATATTAAATTCGAACATTGCAAGCCGATCTTTGACCAATTGTAATTAATCGTATTCATACTACTGAGAAATGATAATGTATTACCACTTATTCCAAATTGTTTATGATACTCTGTCTGGCAGTCAATTACTAAATATGACAAAACTCAAATTACCTGTCTTATCAATTAAATCATTTAGTTCAACATGATTTATTTGAATAAGTGATAATGATCGCAAATTGTAAAAATTTTCCAATGAGAATTTATTAAGAAATAAGGAAAGTTTATTCATATTGTCAATATTTGATAGTTTTAATGAGAAAATTTCATGTTGATGATCAGTTAATAGAGGAGATGTGAATAAAAATTGTTTATATGACATATTCGATACATCCAACGAATAAAATTGTCTAAGTAAATTATTGAAAGGTTTGTTCAAGTTATACCATGTCAGTAATCGATCTTGTAAGTTTTGTAATTTTAAAATTTCTAATAATATTTCATTTGGATGAGACTCGAGTGTTGAAAGACTGTTATTATTCATCTAAAATTAATCAAGACAAAGAGGGTGTGGGTGTGGTAGAGGAGAAGGCTAACATCCACATCCACCTGTAAAATAAAAACTCGACAAGTATTTTCTCTGTTCAATACTTATGTCTCATAGGTCATTCGTTGTGAACTATACTGTTATCTAGTAAGTCATTTTTTTATTTTATTTATCTCACTTCACAGAATACATGTTTTGGAATGTGGCCAAAAATCAATCTACAATAATACTGTATTTATATAATTAAGTGGTATTTTTCGTACTACCTAAAACATTCTGATGTAGAATTGCTATCAAAGATGCAAATTATGGCATCAGACTAAAGTTTTACTTCAGTCTTGATAGAAACAAAAGAGTTTTCAGCAAATAATATGTTGTTAATAAGGAAACGTACAAGAAGTAGCTATGTTAGAGAAACTAATTCAATACTTTGCTTCTTCCGAAGAGTGGATGTGGTACGAGTCATTTCTACATGATACCTACACCCACCCAGATCTTCAATTTTCCCAGTGATCCATAGTCTAAACTCTATTCGAAACGATCGCTATAACTACATCGAAATTCACCTTTTAAAAAAAACACCCTTCGACAATTTAAAAAGGAGATGGTCTGATTATCCTGGATGCTGAGGTGAAATGTTAACATTATGATTGCTCCACTCACGCCTCATTGAATCGGATTAGAGATAAAACCATCTGATGAGTCCCTTAAGCAAGGACAAAAGCGGTCATAACAGCTTGTCTCACTCTCAAAAAATATATTTAGTTAAGGGTGTGGGTGGGTATGGTCTTTCTTTTAACTACATTCACACCCATAATACCACGCTTCATCAGATTTCATTCTATTCAACTTTTGTATATCTCATACAAATCGCTTGAACATTTTTTTTGGACTATAGACAAGTTATGTGACTGTGTCATAATACTTCGTCATAGTTCGCTTCTTTGTCTTTTTTGCTCATTAGTCTAGGCAAGAAGTGCATCATTATTTATATATTTAATTCATATATCAACTTGCAACAGTTAAAAACAAGCAGAATGAATGTAACATTGAAAATGGAAGAAAACAAATTGATCGAAAGTCATTCTTATTCTCCATTAATCCCATATGCTATAACAAATATGCTACAAAAATCTCTCGATGAACCGAACAATACAACCAATTTCGAATTATTACCAAACGAAATTTTCCTTTATCTATTTAATTATATGGATAGTGTTGATCTTCTTCATGCATTTTATGGACTTAATTCTCGTTTCAATCGTCTTCTCTACGAAGAATTTCGTTCATATCGTTTTCACTTCGATTTGTTTTCCAAACGTCAATTCGATATGATATGTCAGCGTCATCTACCATTTATTATTGGTCGATTTATTTTTCTTAGACTTTCTGACAGTGATGAAACACCTGGACAGATTAATCATTTCTTTTCTTACATACCATCGATGTCTTATTTGACTCATTTACGATGTCTAATATTCTATAAACTTTGTTCATATGAAACATTAATTAAAATCGTCCATGAATTTCATCATCTTTCTAGTCTCACTTATTTAGAGTTGAAAAGTTGTTCTTTTCGACTTGATAAAATTGATATGCAAATGATTGTTAATAATATTTGGAATTTACCAAAACTTGCTTCTTGTTATTTTGATATTCGTGTTTATAAACAAGAAACTCCTTTTCTACTCACTCAAGTCTCAACATCGTTAAGAAAAGTATTCATTTATAAACAAAGATTTAAATGGAATGAACTATATCGATTATTTGAATGTACACCTCATTTGAAATGTCTTCGTATTTCGGTGGATCAAGTCGACGGTACTGATTATCAACAATGTCCTATTCCAACACTAATCTATTTAAACATTTCTGGTTTTTGTATGTCAAACATTTCGAAAATGATGTACTTGTTACAAAACATACCTAATTTACGTTGTTTGAAAATCCGTTTATCATATCATTTTATAAATGGTTATCAATGGGAACAAATTATTAAGAATTATTTACCTAAACTTAAAACATTCCTTTTCGATATGTACGATGTAACTGCTAACAATCAAAATATAGAAGAACAAGCTAATGAATTAATGAATTCATTTCGAAGTTCATTTTGGATTGATGAACATCAATGGTTTGTTCGATGTTTTATATTCGATGGATTGATTTATATCGGAAATTCAGTTCATTATGCCAATGATGGTCATCCTTACTTATGGAAATCAACATATCCAAATGATAATTATTTGAATATTTACAAGAACATGACTCATATCTATAATGAAACATTTTTTCATCAATCATTTCCATCTGATGTTCGTTTACCGAGCATTGAATTTCTTTGGATTGAACTACCTATCAAAGAACAATTTTGGACTATTGTTCCAAGTTTAAATCAGTTATATTTACTTTCGATCTCATCCTATACAGATACTTTTCAATTACAATTACAACGTTTACTTGATCAAGCATCCCATCTTTGCTGTTTAGAAATCAAACAACATGAATCATTACCTTTACAAATATCATTTTTGACATGTATAAATACATCTATTCGTCAACTTTATTTACAAAACCATTGGTTTGATGAAGAAGAATGTATAACAGTGACTCGATCACCATTAGGTGTTTCATTTGAAGTACTTTTCATTAAAGTCAAAACGCGTGAAAATATTCTTATTCTTATGAAAAATATGATCAATCTTCGAGCATTAACTATTCAATTCGATGATGATATGTATTCAAAAGTTTTATTATCAAAAAAAACCATTCATGATTTATATAGATCAAATAATGATAGTCTACTTCACAGGTTAAAACATCATTTACCATCAACATGTTTAGTTGTTAGAGATGCAGACACTATCAATCTTATTCATATATGGATTTCATAATGGCAATGATAACAAATTATATATATTGATACATCACGAATTTAGACTTATTCATTGACCTATAATTATGTTGTTAATGTTAAAAATGAAATCATTTGTAATTGAAAGTAAATAAAATCACAAGTAATCAATCTTTTTGGTAGGAACAATTAAGCCCTAATGAGTTTTATTTTGTACAAATGGACTCTAGCAAGAAAATTGTATCGATATCATTCAGTAGTAACCATTGTCCATATGTATATAGGTGACGATTTAGTTAGAGATATGCTCAATGAAACTAATGAACATATTTACATAGATTGCTCAATATTGTTGATTAGAAATATTCCATCGTTTCTTGGTTTTTTTTCAGAAAAAAGCTTCCTTGTCAACCAATGGATTCGAAAGTTATGGTTTTCTGAAAAACTCTTATGAAACACGTCTATCGATTATCACAGATATTTATTATTTGAACAAGTTGATTGTGCATGGTTAGCGTTGAAATGCTCAAAGATTATGGAGTTTTTATCCAGATATTCTTCTAAAAGTTGAAATGTTGATCATTTTCAACGACGAACATATACTTTTCCTAGTATGAAAGTGTCATGTTAGGTCTGAATTTCTAAACCTGCAATTATTGAACAATGAATTAAACTTTTAGCTACGGAAGTATGATATATGATACTTGTTTGTTAGCGATTGTATTTATCTAGCTAACTAGACAGGTTCTCTTGTTGTCTCATACAATGTGTAACATTGAGTTATGTCTATCCGAGTGTTTCAAAGACTTTCATACTTTCGAAAACTTGAGGATGTGGACATCCCTATCATATGTGCAGTCATCGCTGTTCTATCATCACAAGAATAAGCAACCATGATCGGTTTCGACCTTGCTTAAGGGTCTCATCAGATAGCTGCTTATTCTTAATGTACTCATACATTTTAAAATTGTATCTTCTCTATTTTATAGGGGTTGAGTGCAGTTTCATCGTCATCTTATGATGATGGTGATGATGAATTTGAATAATGCCATCTGATAAGACCTTTGGACAAAGTCGAAACTGGTCATGGCTGATTATTCTTTTTGTATCGATAATAAACAATAATGTTCTAAAAACATAATGAACCCACAAATGCTGTAGTTGAATCTGTTAGAAAATAATGTAACAGGAAGATGTTATGATGACATTACTAAAAAATAGGAGATCGTTTTAAGAGACTCGAATCCAAGTAGATGTATTACCACTTTACTTGAAAAAAAAATCACTTAATCTCTGTTTAACATTGTAGAGGAACACGAGACTGATAACGGTGTTATTTCGCTGAATCCCACCAATTTATTTGAACGAAAAAAAAATTGATCTGTAACAAAATAATATTATGATCTATTATATTCAATCTAACTGTTTGAAATCATAGTATCAGCGATTGTATTGATACGTGTGCATACGTTTCGTATTGAAAATAAAACATTCAAATCATCACGATGATCAATAATTTGGTAGACAAGCTCTACCGGCAATATTTGAAGAGATGGAATAATCTTGTCAAACATTGTTGAGTTATGTGTTATATGAAAACGTATTTTTTTATATTGTATATGTAGTCGGAATTCTTTCTTCATTTACGTAATTTTGTATTTCGTTGACGTCTATTTACCGTAGATACGAATAAGAGAACAATTTTTTTTTGTTTTTCTCGAGCAGACTTCAGATTACATTATGCATAGGATTTGTCCCATGATACTTTCTAGAGCAATTTTTTGTTGAAAACTCAGTTTACTATCTGATAACAAATCGAATCAAAATACCTTATAAAAAAATCCCTTATAACTATTTATTCTGCCTGTGTTAGTGATTTTTTTCTCTCTTCTAGACACAAGTTCATTTATTTATTCTCTTGCTCGAATGAAAAAATGTCAATATTCATAGACAATTTTAGGGTGGCTGGGTGTGGGTGTGAGTGTGGGTAGGTGTGGGTGTGGGTGGGTGTGGGTGTAGATATAGATCTTTCTTTTACTCACACCCACACCCACACCCACCCACACCCACACCCACACACCCACACCCCATCCACCCACACCCACAACCACACCCACATCCACACCCACACCCACCCACACCCACATCCTAATTTTCTATGATTGAGAAACAACTACTTACATGTATAGCAGGAGACTGCACGGAATTTTCGTCGAGAAAACAACATAACATTGAAGAAACAACAAGTGACACCTAAAACCAGATAAGTTGAATAGACATATCGAATGACTTGCTGTTGAATATTGAACAATGTATTAATCAATAATGAATTTGTGGACGACATTTAATCTGTATAAAATTCATCAATTAGAGAACAACTGGAAATTATTGCAATATTTATCTATGTTACAGTGAATATGAACATTATTCATTCGAAAATGGAATGTATAGATCTTAAGCATGATGAAGAATCAATTACAGAAAAATGTGTCTATGTTTGAACGACTGACATTATAGATTGGCTCCTTATGAATAGCAAATGATTCGAGTGAAATAATGTATTCTTACGAAGAGAGAAGAAATATAATAAAATTTCTTTGTCACGATTGTTGCTAAGTGATTATAGATCAGATCTTAATGATGAAATCTAGAATATAGTTGTGTGTAGACTCTAATTCCACTGATCATGTTAAAAATTTTGCTGGTCTAGATATTTAGAAGAGTACAGTACACAATAGTATCTTGCTTTACAACTAAGAATTTTCATGTTCTATCTGAAAGAAGAATTGAAATTTTCTTTCAAGTCAGAAAAAAAACTGTCGTTTTACAGTCGGTCGACCGTTTGGTATATTAAATCCTATACCGACTGTTGTCTTATGTTTTCACAATATTATTAGAGTTCGAGCCTACGCATTTATATTCTTGTGATTCCATAGAAATAGATGTTATTTGACATAGATAAGAAATAGATTAATTACTTTTCTTTTGAATAAAAAGGTTTCAAAGTTTGTGTATTTATAAATCGAGAATTGGTTTTCAGTGCTCTCTGACCGTATGTGTGAAAAATGCAATAGATAATATTCCTATGTTTCGCAGAGACAATTAGATCCTATTCAAAATACATATAATTAATGAAAGGATCTTTTTATCAAATAAATTACTTAATAAATTTGTTGCGTAAGCTAAATTACAATTATTTCTTAAAATCGTAATAACAGGTGAGGCAAAAGTTCTGCATTAATTTTGTTTCTAATGTAGCGCTGTGATGAAGTTTCGTAGAGATTTTATCGCTTTTTTTTTATTAGAAAGTCTAGTGCAAAAATATACAAATGTTTGATAGAAGTTATCGAAACTCCAGAATAGAAAGAACTGTAAAACGATTTCGTAAGTGTTTTAGTCATAGCGTCTGATACGTGAATTTTTTCATCATCCTCGACCGCAATCAAAAAGATAAGCTCTATTCCAGCAGAGAAATTTGCAGAAACTATATATTTCAAATGATAATAAAAGTTTGATAAATCCTCTATCGTACGATATTATTTAAAATAAGACATATATTTCCTCTAAAGTGTTTAATGAAACATTCGTATTCGTACTGGAAACCATAAAACCGTGAAATACATTTTTTTCATCATATATTTTTCTGTTCATTCCCTTCTATGTTAGACCAACTATTGTAATACTATATCAAGGTCTTCCTTTGAATAAACATCTATATATATATATATAAATATAGGAAGCTGAAAAATGCTGCATGGTAAAACAGAAAAAGATTAAACAAATATTTTCCGATTGAAAAATCCTCGCCAAAGTTGTCGAATCATTTTTCAATATTTTCTATTTTACTGCTTCTGAAGTTTCTACCAAGCATTTGCTTATTTTTGCATTTTCTAACGGAAAAAACCAGATAAAAATTTCTATGAAATTCCGTTAGAGCGGTGTATCAAAAACAAAATTAATACAAATCTTCTTTCCTACTCGTTACTTGATTTCAATGCTATCAGAGATTCTTATTTATGTTACATCATTTTGTGGAGAACAACCTAAAAGTCTTATGACAAATTTCATCCCTAAAATATTTTATTTATTAACAATAATACCAACCAGATAAAATTGAAGCGAAATGTTTCCCGATGAAAAAGATCATTATTCGATAAAAGAAAAAGCATTTTGGTATTATATCTACACGTAAATATATGATGTAATATTCAAAAAAAAACAAACATTCTGTTCCATCTATTTTTACTAGCTATACTTATTTAATTTAAATAACTTACCAAGTGCTTTCTCTGATTGCAAGCAATTTTGAACATTAAATTTTTCGCTACTTTCTCTCTTGTACAAAATACGTATGTCAATATATTGAAGATGTGTAGTTTGTTGAAGCTATATATTGAGTTGTCGACTTTCTTTAAACTTCTTTTGCATATATTTTTCAGTATCTCACTGTTATACAGCAAATATAAACCATTAGCAAGATAATTTTTGCAAAAAAACATAATTTCTCATTTTAAGTGACACACTACTTGATTCAAAAAGTAGATTGAAATTATCTTTACTCTAGAAACTATGAATGACCTGCTTCGAGAGAGAGAAAAAGAGAAATGAAAACAGTCTTTTCTCGACACAATTTCTTGTATATTCATCATATATATTTTATGATTTACAAAATCCTTGATTTAGACACTGATGGATCATGCTGCCGTCATTATAAATTTTCTACAGAAATGATTAATGACGGATATTGTGAAGTAGTGATCTATAATCTTTATTCAAAAAACGCATAAAAGTAGCGCAGATATGTTCATCACATTGCATATTGTAATTTTGTTTACATTGATCGTTGTGAAAACATTTATGTCAACTTGATATTTTCACAACACTATTACTTGTAGTAGCATTTCAATTCAAAATAGCACTATTGTTAAGCCTACCATGAAAAAATCGTAAATATGAATTGTAATAAGAAAGAAGTAAGCGGACGATGTTATATATCGAAAGTATTTCAAGGAATGTTGTTGATTTAGATATATCATATTT